ACGTCGTTCCCTCCTTTTTACCGGGGCGATTCCGAGATTTTAATTAAGACATCTGTCCCTGCATTGCAGAGGGAGGGTCCCAAATGGCGAGGCTGCCAGGGCACTTGGTTCCCATCCCGCGATCGGTGCCACAGCGGAAGGAAAGGTCGCGATCCAAACGCTCTTACTCCCCTCCCCCAGCGCGGAGGCCCTACTCCAGGCCCGCTCCATCGCGCCCCTCCCCCACCCTGAGCTCCACACGATTTCCTTCTTTATGAAACACACACGCCCAGCCCACCCCGCCTCCCACGTAAAGGCCAGCCCTGTCTCTTTTTGTGCCCACATCCAAACTCAGCTGGAAGTTCAGAGCAGGGCAAAGTCAGAGATGCGCGGAAAGAGAGAATAAGAAGGGAGAAATCAAAGGGGGAGAGGGCGCAGAGAGGAGCTGGAGGTCGCAGGGTCAGGGGCAGACGTGGAGGACAGCCCCAGGGGCGCGGGCGCCGCGGCAGAGCCGCAGCGCCTCCCCCGCGTCTGCCACCCGCGCGCGCCCAGCGGGGTCAAGCGTGGACTCACATGGTCGGACTGCAGAGCCGCTCTCAACTACTGCGAGTGGGTGGTTTCTGGGCTCCCCGAGATCTTCTCCCTGGCTGCCTGCGGTTTGAGGGCAGAAACAAAACAAAACAAATCACGGGACACAATCGAGACCGGCCGTTCGGCGCCGCGGGGACCTCTTGCACTTAGCGCCGGAAAGTGGGCGCGGGGATCGCTGTGGCCGCGTGTAGCCTATAAATAGCAAACTTTTGGACCGAATCTACTAACAAATGAGAGTAGCGGGCGTAAATTTGCGCACGACCCCCCCTTCCGGGGACGACCCGACCACCCCTCCCGCCACTCTCTAGGCAGGATTTGGGAGAGGACAGATTCGGAAAGGAGGTGGAATTTAATTTTATGAGAATTTGCAGTCGTTTTGATATTTTTGCAGAGGGGGCTCTCCGCCTCTTTGAACCTCCCTTTCCGCCCACCTTTGCAGCTTCGTCCCCTCCTTACCCCTCCTTAACCCCCTACCCCCGGCAGGGCACTGAAGGTCCCTGCTAGGAAGCGCAAAGGCCCAGGAAAGCGGAGCTGCTAGGGGTTGGCTGTAGAAGCGGGGAGGGGGAGGGGAACACGGAGCCGGGGTTCCCCGGGGATTACTGCAGCGACAGAAGGAAAGCGGAAAACTGCCAGCATTTGGGGGTTTCCTCTGATGCCGGGACGGGAATTCAGGTTCTCCCGAGTTTGGGAGGGGAGTGCGAAAGGGTGAGTACAGAAGGCACAAAGGAGTTCCTAGAGTGCAGATTTCCTTTCCCAGGGTAACAATAAACCTCCAGTGCTAGCAAACCCCCTCTCAGCAACTTTACTTGAACCCTCGGCCCTGACGGGGCCGGGAGAGCGAAGGCGCACGCCGGAGTTAAGTCCCTGCTTGCCTTGGGGGCCGCAAGCTCTCGAAGCAGCGTGTCCTGCCGGCTGGTGCCCCAGGGTCTGGCTCGCTAGCTCCCCGGGGCCGGCCGCCTTTTCGCCGAGCCCGCTCACACCTGCCGACCGGAAGAGATCTATTTCACCCGGAGTCTTGAGCACCACTAGCCGTCCGCCCGCCCCCTTTCCTTGCGCCAAGGCCGGATTGCCAATGGTGATTGGGTTAGTTCGATTTTCATTTTCTTTCAGGTGCTTCTTCGAAAACAAAACCCCGAGGACGGCAGACACTGGCTCTCCACTCTAAACTCTCTAGTTCGGGAGGTTGCTCACTAAAATTTTCCTGGATGTTTCACACGAACCACAGTCAGTAGGGTATCCATTGGGGCGGGAATGTGGGTTGGAGAAATTGAGGGCGCTGCAGGTGAGGCCCCGCAGGTGAAAGGAGGTTGCACTGATCCCCTTCGGAGGCTCGGTTCACGCAAGGCCTGTGGAGCGGGGGCCAAGCCCGAGTAATGGGCCTAAAAGCGGCCTTCCAGCTGGGAGGAGGGAGCCGGCGAACGGTGCTGCTTTTTCTTTACATTGCCCACCGCGGTCCCACACCACCATCCCGCCCCCTGTTAACGGAAATGGCAAATGCCTAACCTCTACCCCTCACTCCTAGGAGAAAATCAGAGAGGGTTTCCGACGCAGTTGGTGTGGGGCGTTGCTGCCCCATAAGCGCTTCTTCCAACACCACTTCCCGCCTATTACCGCCCCATAAACGGAAAAGTTATTTTGTTTTTCCGGGAAATCAGCCGGGTTTGGAAGGAGAGGGGAAAAGCAGAGGCGCTAAGGGGTTGCACCAGCCACTCACCCGGCGGGGTGTGCTCACTGCCTCCTACTCCGCGCGAGCGGGCCCGCCAGACAGTGCTAGCCCCCGCCCCGCCCCCACCGCCCCCAAGCCCGCGCGGCGGGCCCTCGAGTGGAAGGCGCGCTTCCCCCAGGGCCCGGCCTGAAGCGCACTTGAAGGTGCTCCCAGACGGAGCTGGAAGGAGCCCGGGTGTCCCGAGGCACTCCAGCCTGGCTTGCGCTCCCCTTGCTACGTACCTGTCCCAACCTCCCCGCTCCAGTTGCTGCCCGGGCTGGGGAGCCCGGCCTGGAGCCCCCGCTCTATCCGCGCGCCCTCGCCCTCCGGGACGCTGGGCCAGATATAGGGAGATCGCGGGCCATTGGCTTGGGCCACTGTTTCGAACTGGCTTCGAGCATATGCCCAGATTTCGCGGCACCTTTGTGGGCTGGGAAGACAGAGCCCAGGCCAGCGCCTTACCTTTCACCCCACCCAGACCTCCCCCAACCCTTCGGGTTAACTCCGAAAGGAAACCTCCTTGCGGGCCGAGTGTGGAGGTCAATGAGTGCTTGCGGCTTTTCTCGAGGTTCTGGGGGTTCGTACTAGAGGAACAGGCCCTATGGAGACAGAAAAGACAGACGCACAAGCAGCAGTCCCGTGGCTGTGTTCAGCGCGAAGTTCACGTCTATTGTTTTCTGCCTCGGGGAAAGCTGCCCAGTGTGATAGATCTTTTTAGAGCCCATCACTGGAAGAAAAATCCTGGTGATAACGATTATCTCCCGCTCGCGCTATCTTGCCATCGCCCCAATTCATCTCCCTCTCGCTCCAGCCCCTCGGGGAGAGGAGGAGAGTAAGGGGCTGGCGGGAGGACGGCCCAAGCCGCTGCTCTCGGATGGAGCGGAGAGGCACGAGGCCACTTCATCCGTCCCATTCCGCTCCGGGCTGGGGGGAGAGGACACCGCGGATTTCTTTCCCTGCCAAGCCTCACGCTTCTTTCAAATGATTTTAATCTGGTGCTCCGGTCTATCCATATACATTTCCAATCTCATGGCTCATAAACTATTAGCAAAATGGTTTCATTATTCACCTTCTGTATCCTACAAAAGATAGAAAAGAAGGGAGCAGCAGGAAGGCAGAGTGGGGGTGGGGGGCAGTCGTTGGACACTAGTTAACAATGATTCTGCCCGTGTTTAAATCATGGTTCAGACTGCCTTCTTCAAGCTGACATTCAACAAATCTGATCCGTTTCCAAGGATCTGTAGCCGACCCCTTCTCTCCCCCTCTACCCTCCCCTCTTTTGCTCTCTCTTTCTCTCCATCCATCACTATCCATCTCTCCTTAACACCCAGGTTTCTAGAGGGACCAGATGAATAGCTAAGATACTGCAAATCCATTATTTGCTTCATTAGGTGTCATCAATAAGGCACGCCCTTCAGATACGACACATACGATTATCTGGTTAGAATGGCTACCCCGGTACCCTTAAGGGGGGTGTTGGTAATGGAATCACATACCATCCCTGAAACCAACCCGTCCTAAGTGACAAGGCTAGGATGATAACCAAGAAGTTGGCCGAAGGCTCGGTGTGGCGCCCATGTGCCCAATTGGGCACCAAGTCCTCTTCTGGCTTCCGCAAGACGGGGGACGAGAGGAAGTTGCAAAGTGGTGTGTATGTGTGTGTATATCCCTGCGTGTGTGCGCGCGCGCAAGCGCGTGCCCGTGTGAATGAGTGTGGAGAGAATGGGGGGGTGTAACCGATCGGGGTCTTTGTTTGCCTCTGAGAGGTGGCAAAAAAAAATTTTTTTTTAAATTTTGCCTGAGTAAGCCGGAATTAAAAGACAAATAGAAACAAACTGGCTCGTGGAGGCCCGAGAACTCTGTGCATGGGCTAAACAAGGTAGAAAACTGCGGGCAGGCGTGAAATGGCAGAAGCGGCCTTGGGCGACGGGAATCCGACCGGCTTCTCCGCTGGGGGCGATGATGATATTATCTCCACCGATACTTTTAACTTTTCATAAATCCTATCTAGAAGGACTCTATCACAACACACACGCGCGCGCGCACGCACACACATAACACACACACATAACACACACACGCTCTTCCCCTGCACTTTTTGAAAATATTAAGGACGCTAGGCAAGTGAGATTGCGGTAATTATCCCTGGATGTAGAAACCAATCTGGCTGCGGGAGGCCCCTTTGCAGTCGCCCGCGGCAGCGGCGGCGGCGGCGCGCGGACCCGCGCAGAGGCCGGGGACTCCGGGCGCCCGCTAGGTCACCGCGCCGCGCGGCCGCCGCTCGCCGGCTGTTTAATATACATGGGGTGGGAACGGAGGGAAACGGATCTCCGGCCTGCACGTCCTGCAGAAAAAAAAAAAAGAAAGAAAGAAAGAAAGAAAAGAAAAAGGAAAAAGAAATCAATTTGCTATTTATTTTTGAAAAATACAGATTTTTTTTTTTTCCAGCCCGACCCCCTCCAAGAACGGCGGCCCACATTTAATTACGTCTTTTAATGACTTTTCCCTTATTTGCCATTGCTATTTCACGTTAAGGGCGGGGGCGGGGTGGGGTTTCTTTGGGGGGTTTTCAATTCTGGTATCTTCAAAAAGATTTGCCTTATGTGTTAATTGCATGCTGTTAAGCACATCTGGGACTGCGTGCTGACCAACTCGGACCAACTTTTAATTAACACATTGACCCGACGAAGAAGCAGCCGCCCAGCCTCCCCCTCGAAATATGTATATTAGCCGCGCGGAAGCCGCGCGGCCCGCGCCGCCAGGTGCGTGCGAGGAATTGCCTGCGTCGAGGGGCGGGAGGGGGTGCAAATTGCAACCGCTCGCTCTCTTCCAGCGAACATTTTCTCGCCTTCCCTCTAGGAAAACAAAGAAAAAGAAGTGAGTGACCGGCTCCAGAAGCAGGCTTCTTATATCCTTTAATGTGACTTGACCCTGGGCGGGGAACTTAGGAGGATGGAAGGGAAGACCCCGGAATCATTTCTAATCAGCCTAACCTGGGCTATTGGGTCTGAGCTGAGATGGAGCCTGAGCTCTTTAAATGATCCGAGTTCTCTGTGAATGAAGAGAAGCGGTGGCCAAGAAGCCTGGTGGCAGGAGAGACCCGGCCAACGGCTGCCTTTTGTGGTTCTGGCCTTCCTGCTTCCAACCTCCTCCCCTGCGCCTCGGGCTCCCGGAAGCAAAACCGCAAACTCTCGCAGGCCTGTGTCTGGGGACCGGGAATAGGGGTCCCCCCTGCCTGGAGCGCACTGTAGTCAGGAGGCAGAAGGGAATCGATGGCTAGTGTTAGGGCTCTAGGCCCAGTGGCCGAGTCTAGAGTGTTCCGGGGTCATCTTCTAGCCAGGCCAGTCACATCCCGGCTGGAGGGAGGAGGAAACCCGGAGCGCTCCCAGACGATGCCACCTGCAGATACATGCAATTTCACCCTAAGTAATTTCATTCAGAATGGATGGCGTCTCACTGGAGTGGTGCCTTCAAAGTGAGTGCCTCGCCGGCTTCCCCTTGGAGCACAAATGCGGGTTAATCCCCAGATACGTACTCATTTTCTCTTTCCGCATCTAATCTCCACGGACTCGCTCTTCCAAGTGCTTAGCTGCAGCATACATCCCTATAAAAAAAATGTCAAAGCGGTATTCCTTCTCCCAGCCATAAAAAAAGTTGGAGCGAATGGCTCCCAAGTTACCGTTTAACGTCCCCTCCAGGTAACAGTTGAAGTTTCTTGTTTGACATTTTTCATTCCCCAATACAGAACTTTTCAATAAATATGTAGTACCAGCGCGAGCAGAAGTATATGTCGCAATAAATTCATGGCTGTAGGCTCTATATCGATGCTTTGCAAAATTTAATGTGACGAGATTGCTCCCCAAATTCCTTCCACTTCTTTTCTTTTTTTCCCCCTTATTCTTAGTCTCCTTTTTGTGTCCTTCCCTTGAATCTACTTTGCCCATCAATTTATCAGGGAATCTGCAAAAACTTAAAACTGACAAAATAGAGAAGATAAAGACAGGAGAACAAAGTTCTGTTACTCAGTAATTCCTGAGTTCCTCCAGATCTCTTTATATTCAGATAAGGATTAAAGGTATAAACAGCACACATCTTCAGTCAGGGAAAAAAAAAAAAAAATATATATATATATATATATATATATATATAATCAGTTGGTAATTTACAACTGGTAAATTACAATGTCTCTTTGCAGAGAAAAGGCCTCTGAAAAGTTAGCACAAGCATTACCCAAATGGCTTTATTTTTGAGTTTTAGTGGACCACAGCTACTTATTTCAGCTCACAAATTGGTCTGCAAAATTGCAGCACACACCTGACATCCAGGGAAAAAACAAGAGTTAGTTACCCCAGCTGGTTCTTTTGATTTACTCTGCCTGGTAAGATGTACACTGGTGTGTTTTGATAAGAGAAAAAAAAAGGGAGTCAGCAGTTTGATTTGGAAACTCTTTTATTGCTGAATATGGTTGCAGGTTTAAACTAAAGAATGTGTTTCTGCTGGGGACATTTGCATGACACATCCATATGCATTAGCAGCTGCACGGTGTTATATCATCAGTTCCTGTGAGCATTTATCTTTTTTTCCCCTTCTGTCTTTCTCAAAGGAAGCTGGTAAGTGGCTTATAGGAGAGCCATATAGACTTTAAAGATATATGAGTCTTCCGGAGTCCTTCGGGCCCTCAGCATCTAATTGGCCTACACCAACTTGTTTCTTTTGAGGACTTTGGAGTATCTGAAGTAACTTGCTCCCTGGTTACATTTTTTAACCTATAAGATGGATCAACTGGGTATGAAATATAATAAAAATTATCCAAAGAAAGGGGCCTTGGCCATTCAACTCTGTATTCACGAAAATGGTGTTGTCATTAACATTCCTCTGCTAATTTGCTTTGTGACTTAACAGAGAAACTTTTCATCAGGTACATTTGCCATAAATGCATTAGTTTTCATGTCTTGATACTTGATAGAGGTAATATTTTTGAATATCAGGATAGCTAAGACCTTTCCACACTACCGTGTACTGATGGCGTCAGAGACCACAAGAGCAGATCTAGAAAAATGTGTGCTCCTTCAGACATTGTATGAGCTGTACAAAGGCCATTGTATGATACCTGCAGCAACGGTCAGCATCTAATCCTACCTGAACTTTGTTTCATATGTCTGATTCTCTCTGAATTCCAGTGATCTGTAAACAATAGGAACCACCATGTCAAACTGAAATCAGAATTTTGTATTTGGTCTGCTTCTGTCCAGTAGCACAGCCGATTTATTAAAAAAAGAAAATTGTACCTTTAAATTGTAGTCGTTGAGTCAGGGTGACTAGGAAGCATATAAACCCAAACCAAGATACTAACCGAAGCACATTTTTAAAAATCACTTCATATCAGCTCACACTCAGTGTTCTGTGGAATTGTTTGAGAATAGCCATGCTCAAACTTTTAAAGTATTAGTGTATTACAGGTATATTACAAAGTGAAACAAAAAATCTTATACACACACACACAAAGTAAAAAGGATAATAATCCTTAGGAATTCGTATGGCCAATAAAGATACCCTACTGGAGGTATTGTGGCTTTTTCTCCCTTTGTTGTAGCTTTTTTGGTCATCAGAGAAGATATTTAGAGGAAAAAAGAAATGACAATAATTAATAAAATGGTGTCACATGTTTTTTTTCCTAAAATACTTGGAACTAATATGCACTACTGTACAAGTGGGTATGCACAATGACACATAAATATGCATGAGCCTAAATAATAATCTATTTTTATGTCTTGTTTCCAGATGTTTGCAAATAACACTAGTGCATTGGCTTGACCTAACCAAATGGTAGCTAAGATCTCTGCCATTCAATTGAATACTAGATAAGGATCACAGAACAAATTTCTTCTGCCTTCCATTGCACAAAAGTTGTTGGGCTTTTTTTTTTTTTTTAACTATTCAACTTTAAAACAGTAATTTACTATCATGTGGATGAAAGTAAAAACAGTTGCTTGGTATTATATAATGGAAAATTAACCAGCTGCTTTATTTTGTTCAATTAATTATTTTAGTGATAACTAGAACAACCAATTATTAGAACTGGTGAGTTTAGCTGTTTAGAACATGGGCTGGAATTAATTCTGGTCAGGGGCTGCGTGTTACACTCCCAACTCTAACCAGCCCTGGACAGTTATGTCCCAGAGGTGACAAAAGGAACAAATGAGAATGCAGATACATTTGCCGGAACCAGAGAAAAATATTTATTTTTTAAAGTATACATCTTCTTTACAGCATTAAGTACAGAAGCTATGGGACATGTGTCTACAATCTGATAAATCTCCCTGGCAAGATTTATTAGAGAACAGGAACAGGGAGCAAAAAGACCTGGCAAAGGCTACAAGGAGAGCTTTGCTAGGATGAAGAACACTACCTCTCTGGTATTGGTGCGTCATTTAAAACCCTCAGAGAGCAGATGCTACCGCTTCAGTGTATATTCGCTTTAAGATAAAGAAAGAATTTGTTTGCTTTCAGATTGTATTTTGACATTAAACATTTCTGGATGCACTAATAGTGTCAATAGACTTTGGGATACGGGGGATCTGGAAGAATTACTTATTTGCCTATCCATTCAGCTCTGGGTTATGTTTTCAAAATCATTCTATTTCTTTCTCTAAGCCTTTCCTTGTCACAAGACACACTATCATAGGCTCTTTGAAACACGATGGCTAAGATAAACAGGAGGCCATGACAACAGATCACCTTGATTCAGCAGATCTAAATCAAAAAGCAGAGAGAAGTCTTGTTAAGTCAGTATTTAATTCTACAGCCATTTATTCATACTCATTTCCAAGAAGTATGAACTAGGTAATATGGACATTCAAAAGCCAATGATTGTAGTCTGGCATGTAAGGAGCTCAGATGTTGCCACTCTAACATGTGAAAACCTGAACAATCTTCCTACATCCACCAGAGAAGTGAGGTCACAGGGCAAAATTTCTACCCCCCAAATTGGAAAGACAGACAGATGAAAACAAGCCATCACAACCTATGGCAACAAAATCCCAAGTGTGTAAACCTCCTTGGGAACCAGTCCTGGGGTAGGAAAATAGCAACTGCAACTGAGAAATTGCCAGAGGCTCAGTGTGGACAGATCTGAGAGCTCAGAACTCCGACAGGAGCGCATTACAGATGGGACCCCATCCTTCTGTGACTTTTATTTCGAGGAACTCTACACCTCACTGTGAATATAAGGTAAAACTCCTCAGACTTCTGGCAGGCGGAGGGGAAAAGAAACTACTTTTTCTATGTCTTTCGGGGGTGCCTGGGTGGCTCAGTGGGTTAAAGCCTCTGCCTTTGGCTCAGGTGATGATCCCAGAGTCCTGGGATAGAGCACAACACATCGGGCTCTCCGCTTAGCAGGGAGCCTGCTTCCTCCTCTCTCTGCCTGCCTCTCTGCCTACTTGTGATCTCTCTCCATCACATAAATAAATAAAATCTTAAAAAAAAAAAAACTTTATATGTCTTTTGTTTTTTTGTTTTTTTGTTTTTTGTTTTTTCACAAAGCCTGATCTCAAGAGAAACTATTTTGCCAGAGCCTAACCTACTTGGGCTTAACAGAGCCTAACCTACCTGAGGAAAGGGAAATACCAAACTCCAGCCCCCTCTAGCCATTATGTCCCACCTAAGGGGATGACACTGAGATGCACTAGTGAAATGCACAGACACATTAAAACACTGTGATCTAATCATAACACTATAGAACGTGTCCAGCACCCTGACACCTTACCATCACATTACTAAATTACTAAATTACATTACTAAAGACCTATTGACTACAGTTTCCTTTGCCCAGTATATCGTGTCCATCTCCCAACAAAAATTATAAGGCATACTGAAAAGCAGTAAACACAGTTTAAAGAGACTAAACAAGCATTAGAACCAGTCAGATATGGCAGGAATTTTGGAATTAGTAGACCAGGAATTTAAAAAATATATATGATTAGTATGATAAGGGCTTTAATGGTAAAAGTAGATAGCATGCAAGAGCAAAGGGATAATGTAAGCAGAGATATAGAAGTTCTAAGAAAGAATCAAAAAGAAATACTAGAAAAAGACTAAGAGAAATGAAAAATGCTTTTGATGGTCTCACTAGGAAACTGGACACAGCTGAGGAAAGAATATCTGAGTTGAGAATGTGACAATAAAAATCTTTGAAAACTGAGAGCATGAGAAAAAAGAAAAAAAAAAGAATAAAACATCCAGGAACTGTGGGACAACTACAAGTTGTAATACTTACAATTGGAATACCGTAAAAGGAAAGAATGAAAGTAACAGAAGCAATATTTGAAATAGTAATGACTGAGAATTTCTCACAATTGATATCAGACATCAAACCACAGATCTAGAAAGCTCAGGGAACACCAAGTAGGATAAACGTCAAAAAGAGACTACACTAGATAGATCATATTCAAACTTTAGAAAAATCAAAGAAATAGTGAAATATTTAATGCATTGAGAGAAAAAACTACCAACCTAGAATTCTGTACCCTTTGAAATTATTCTTCCAAAATGAGGGTGTAATAAAGACTTTCTTAGACAAACAAAATTGAAGGAAGTTGTTGCCAGTACACTTGCAAGAAATATTAAGTTCTTTAGAGAAAAGAAAAATGATATAAGTCAGGAACTTGGATCTACATAAAGGAAGGAAGAGCTTTAAAGGAGGAATAGTGAGTATAAAATAAAAACATTTATTTTTATTGTTCTTAATTGATCTAAGAGATAACAACTTATTCAAAATAATAAAAGCAGTAATATATTTGATGATTATAGTTTATATATAAATGAAAATGAATAAAAAAATGATCTAAAGAACAAGAGGGAGGAAATAGGATTATTTTGTTATTGTAATGTACTTGCACTAACCATGCTACAGTGTTATTTGAAAGTGGACTTGGATTAGTTGAAAATATGTATTCCAAACTCTAAGGGAGCCACTTAAAAATAAAACAGTAAAACAATATGCATAATTGATGTGCTATGAAATGAGAGGAAATGGAATAACATAAAATGCTCAATTAAAATAACAAAAACAAACAATTATAGAAGACAAAAATAGGGACAAAGAATAAGGGCAACAAATAGAAAACAGTAACATATATGGTAGATAGTAATTTAACTGTATCAATAATCACTTTAAACACCCATGCTTTAAATATACCAAATAAAAGACAAAGGTTGTCAGATCAAAAAACAAGGTTTAAGTATGTTATCTACAAGTAACACACTTTAAATATTAAGTCACACATAAATTGAAAGTAAAGGGATGGAAGAAAATATACCATGCTAACACTAATTAAAAGAAAATGGGAGTGGCCATATTAATTTCAGATAAAGCAGAACAAGGAAACTTGTCAGGGATAAAGAACAACATTACATAATGATAAAGGGCACAATATTCTTTTTTTAAAGATTTATTTATTTAAAAGAGAGATTAACTTCTTAAATTCATATGGAACATTCACCAAGATAGGCCCCATTCTGCATCATAAAACACAACTTGACAAATTTAAAAGAATAGAAATAATGTATGTCTATTCAGATCACAATAGGATTAAATAAGAAATCAATAACAAAAATATAGCTGGAAAATTCCAAAATACTTGGAGATTAAAAACACTCTTCTCAATAACTCATAACTCAAAGAAGAAAGCTCAAGACAAATTAAAAGATATTTTGAGCTAAATAAAAATGAAAGTACAGTTCATCAAAATTTGTGAGATTTGGCAAGAGCATCATTTAGAGGGAAATTTATAGCATTGAATGAATGTAATAGAAAAGAAGAAAGATCTAAAATTAATCAAGCTTCCACCTTAGGAAACTAGGGGAAAAAAAGAACAAAATAAATCTAAAATAAGCAGAGGAAAAGAAATAATAGAAATTAGAGCAGAAGTAAATAAAATTGAAAACAGGAGATCAATGGAGAAAAATCGACAAAATTGAAAGCTGTTTCTTTGAGAAGACCAATAAAATGAGAAGCCTTTAGCCAAGCTAATGGGAAAAAGAGAGGGAAAATTATTGATATGATAAATGAAAGAGAGAACATAACTACATATCTCATGGATACTAAAAGAATAATAAAGGAATATTATGAACAACTTTAAGGCCACAAAGTTGACAATTAGATGAAAGGGATTTTGATATTAGGGTGATGCTGACCTCAGAGAATGAGTTAGGA